GAAGCTATGATCTCTAAATCCTACTACTTACTTTTAGTAATTTTCAATTTCTTGTTATTTTATTAAAGAAGTTTACGTGTTTCAGTTTGAAACTTGTTAATAAACGTTGAATGGATACTAATAAAGTAAATTTATTTTTAGTATGTATTATTTGAAAACTAAAATTGTGAAAAAGGACAAAAGTACCAATAACACATAAATAATATTTTTTTTAGGATATCCTAGCCTTTTCTCTTTCTCTCGCTCTCGTTGTTACAATGCTAACAACAATAATTGATTGGGTAACTAAGAATTAAATTTAACTTGAGGGTCTTATCGAAAACTTATAAGAACGTATAACAAGGAGGTTAACAAACGAGACTGTGACAGATATGGTTGACTTTTGGTTCAATTAGATGCTATGTTGTACTTTTTTTCTTTAAATTTAATCTGCACTTACATACACAAATATAGTAATATACATGAGAATTGAAATTTACAACAGTGTTATAAGTCAAGAATTGTGTAACAAAATATGTTAAGCCACAAGATCTAATAGATGACTCGTACAATTTATATGTCAAATTGAAAATTCATTTTGACCAATCCCTCAACAACACTTGGTAATTTGTTCTTCAACACAAAAACTAGAATAAAGGAACGTCGGAGACTTAGCAACAGCCGACTTGGAGCACTTTCTTTCCAAGAATTGCAGGCGCTTTTTTAATTGGAGTTTGGTGCAAAAGCGGCTGATTCATTAAATCGTGCGGAAGAATCTAAGTTTCGGATCAGAAAAGCGTGATACCTTGTCCTGAATTTAGCCGTACGTCTTATCTATCTTTTTAGTTCCTTTTCAAAAAAAAAAAAAAAGACATCACTTTTGTTAGAAACAGAATTAATCAACAAAATATATACTTTTTTTTATTTAGTGTACGTCACACATAATTCCCCATTAAAAATCTCTTCTTTTTTTTTCGAAATGCTTATAAACATAAAAGCATAGTGTGCTACGACTAAGATGCACATCTCCCTCTCTCTCTTAAATTCAATCAATTAAGTAAAGTATTGCATTCCACGTATTTCTATTTTTTTTAGATATATTGTATATGTTTAGCTTTTTTTTCCTTGAAGGTTTGTTTGGATATGCATTATTTACAAAATGTTTTTCATTATTCACCACAATAAAAACGCTTTTTAACTACTCTTTTATCACTCACATATAACATCATATTAGAAAAGCATTACAATAAATATTTCAAATAATCTTCAATTCAAACACTAAGCATAACTTACTTAAACCAGTAGCGACGCGAGGACCCAGGCTCAGTGGGAGCAAGATTGTACACTTAAAATAAAATAAAATATTTTTGAGTTTTTGTTCTACTTTCTATATTTTTACTCATTCAAGTGGTAGTTAAATGTATCTGAATTAATAGCTTTGAAACAATTGAACCGTAGGAGAGATACTTAAAAGAAAGAAATTGATTATTTAAAGACGACTATTTTCCAAATTATAGGGGTGCAATGTCAAGAGATAAGGATATTTTTTAAACTCGAGGGGGGACAATTGTGAGAGAAACCTAAAATTTTATAAAATTTTCAAGCCTATTTTATGATTCTTGCAAAGTTGAGGTGGGGGCAATTACCCACCCTCACATCAAGGTGGCTCCACGAACCTCTGCTTAAAACTATGAAAGATTTAATGTATTTAGCTAAACTAATTACCAAACTTGAACCGTCATACATCAATGCAATTGCAACTTGCAAACCATCGATTTTAAAATCTTTAAAATGAGGTATGAAATAAATCAAGCGGCCCAGATGCATAAAAATCTATGGTTGCTATTTGGTTTAGCCATTTAATTGTTGGGTAGTCATGAAATAGCCAGCTTTCTAACAAGCATGGAGGATATATATATATATATATATATATTTTTTTTTTTGGGTCTTTTTGGCTTTGGATCTTTATATGGTCCCCCAAATTTTCGGTCTATGCCTAGTTAATAAAACTTTGTTATGGGGTCATAGTAATTAGGTATTAGGGAACTTCAGTCCATGTTAATTCAATGTTAGCTAGATACACTTAATCTGGTAATTAAGTAAATGAATTTACTTTTTTCTTAAATGTTAAAGATCTGATGAGATTGCCAATGTCTTTCATCAAGAAAAGATCTTTGTTACTAGCCAAATGCCGCATATTTTTGAAAAACAAGTAGCAAAAGTTGTTGGAGGTTGTTAAAATTAATTATCACTAATTAATTGAGCTCAACCTTCGAAATTGGCACGTTTTGAGAGGCCAAGACCTAATTAAGAGCCATTTTGGTCTGCCTCAAAAAAAGGTCATTTGGTATATGGTCATAAACAAAGCCACGAGGCATGTCAGATTTGCATGACAATACCACTAATGACGTCCTATATGAATTAATTAATTGTCACTAAAAAAATAAGTACACCTCTTAGGCTGTCACCAATTGGAGGGAGCCTCCTAACCTATGAGTTTTTTTTTTTTTTTGGAGGGTCACTTCTTGTTAATCAAGAAATTAAATTGAGGAAGATCTTAATTAATTTGATTGCTTGGATCTAAGTACACAAGCAATTGAGAGAATAAAAAACTATCATGCAACACGTGAGTTGAGTGAGACAAAAGCGTTGTAATGATTGGCTATCTTACAAGCCACGCTTTCATGTTGTGTGTGTTTCTTGTGTGCACACATGGAGAATGAAGATCTCATAAAGTTGTATAATCTCAAGGCTTTGATATAATAACTATTAGATGCTATGAATAGCTGCCCAACTAAATGAACTAACTCGAGAATTTGGAGAAGCAGATGGGCTACTGTGTGTAGTGTGTGAAAACAATAAGGAAGAAGTGATGAGGTGGTCCTTTTAATTGGCTTTTACTTTACAACTAAACCCCACCTATTATTGTTAGTTTGTGAGCAATAAAATAAAATGACCCCTCTTGCTTGCTCTTGGTATAATTAGTTGCAACTTCTTTCGCACCCTTTACTCCCTTTTGCTTTGACAACCTTTCTTTAACTTGTTCTTCAAACCAACTCCTTTTGCATTCTTCATTAATTGTCAAATGCCCTATATGTATATATATATATACCTAATTTCATAGGTTTCTAGCTTTTAAAAGTATAATTTGGGGAAGCAAGTGGACTTGAAGATTGTTTATAATTTTATGTGCAGAAATTTTTGTGTTTATTGATAGTGTTAAACCAAAAAAAAAATAAAGTTTGCTGTTATTAATGGCCTAACTATTTCAAACCAATGCAACTAGTCAAGATGTTCAATTCCAAAATGTCAATTCCAACAATCCTAAACAAATGGATTCTTGACTTTTGGCCCTTTTCAGCTCTTTTACTTCCTCCTCCAAAAAACACAGAAGGGAAAAGAAAAAACCAAAAAACAAGAAGTGAAAGAAAATGGCCAGTTTTCTATCTTTAATCATCTACAGGGATCCAACTTTGGGACCTTACACATGAAAATGATCTTAGTCTTTATTCAACAATCCCTCTTATAAACTTACATTTTTCCTCTCTCATATATCTACCTTGACGGCAGGAATTGAAATTCATGCTAAAAAAGGTACTTCCAATTTTTTTTTAAAACAGTATTTCCATATTTCTAAATAGCATGTCAATAATACTCATAGATATAGAGCAAGTAAAAATAATAGCTTGCAGGTGGTTACTTCATGACACAAAACAGCTTTGTTGGCCGGTCATAAATCATTCATGAAGCTTTTAGATTTGGGAAATCATCACGACTTTTTGTGCACTTTTGCCGCATCAAAAAGCCCAAATTCTTGATTTATAAGTTACGAACCACTACATTGGACAATTTAGGTTTGAAAATTTTTAAAGTCACAAAGTTCCACATGTATAGTTTATTGTTCGGCATCATTAAAACGTAGCCTAACGCTGTTCTAGAAACTGGTTGTTGAAAAGAAGTGCACCAAGGATAACTAATGATGTCAAATCATTATTTCCTGAAAATCCTACAGAGAGAAAGATAATTTTTTTTTCCAAGTATGAAAAGGGAAGGGGGATTGGAACTTGGAAGTGGTTTTTGTTTTGAATTGTGACTTCTTGATGTTTCAAGAATCAAAGGAAACCAACAATTTTTGTGTTTGTATGACTTTCGTAACATTAATTCCTAATTTACATTGTTTAATAAATTAAGAAGAAAGATAAATTAAGAAGAAAGGAAAAGGGATGGATTGGATGATACAAGGGAAGGAAGCATAAATGAGAGATTCTGGAATTGAGATGAGAATATAAGACGAGAAAGTTTAAACAAAAGGTTCCAAGTTTGAGATCGCACACTTACACGAACTCGCTTTTGTATATTCAAGACTACAATTGCAAATCATAAAGACTTTTAATATTTCAACTCAGTTGGTTTAACTTCTTTGTATTTGAAATTCTTATTGACCTTGAAAAACCCATTTATGGGATATTTATTATGTTATCCAACGTACTATTCAAATTTCATACCTTGTCCATCAAAGTTTCATACACTTTATCGTATGGCCGCATAAACCATGCAAACAAAATTTTGCCTGCAAAGAAAAGTTTCAATCTATAGTCTACAAGCCAATTGTCATTTAATGAACTCTCTTATCGATGTTGCTATCAAATTGTTGAACTTTTCAATGGAATACTAAAAAATTCGTGGACTGAAAACAAATTTACTATTACCATTTGACTTGCTAACTTGCCTGGTGTGCATGCTGAGAGAGTTATCAAGGGCGAAATTGACTTCAAATTTGTTAGCATAAAGTTAAGAATTAAGAATAGAACAAGTAACCAAGGCTAAAACACAATCCAAGTCTCTACCAAAAAAGAGAATTTCTCAAGAAACAAATTCAACAAGTTTGTTCAACCCAAAATTCAGCCCCCTAATCCATGAAATTTAACTTTCAAAGGGAATCAACATCACTTCCCTACAAAACAACGCATCCAAAAGTAGAGCAATTTGGATAATCCAATCCAATCTACCTCATCCACCTCCTTATACTTGTATCCACTTGACCAAGTTTAGAAACCATATTTGTCCACTTGGCCTCTAATCCTTGTTACCACATGGTGACCGGCTATTTTGCCAAGTCATCGCTTCCCCCCTCCTACTCCAAGCTGTCCAAACCTTAACCCTTTTGCCACGTTGTAAATTTCAATTCAAGAAATTGTCATTCCAACTCTTTCAAAAACAGAGAAAGAAAGCCACCTGTAGTACCTCTGCCCAACTAATTTGGACACACACCTTTCAATTAGAGGTCGTCAACTTATGCAAAGTCACCTAGTATAAAGCCCCCAAGTCCCTAACCAACTTGTTGCAACACGATACAAACAGGAGCTTCTCTCTTCATCAATAATCTTTCTTTCTTTCCTCACCAAAAAGAAACCATGAACTGGACGAGAGGGCACACGTTAGGCCATGGCTCAACTGCCACAGTGTCGGCAGCCACCTGCCGCCACACCGGCGAAACATTTGCCGCGAAGTCCACTGAGCTATCGAAGTCTGAATTCCTGCAAAATGAGCAGAAAATTCTGTCTACTTTAGACAGTCCTTTCATAGTTGGCTACAAGGGGTATGATATAAGTATGGAAAACAATAAGCTTATGTTCAATCTCATGTTGGAGTATTTGCCTGATGGATCAATAGCGGATGCAATTCACAGAAGAGGCGGTCGGCTCGAGGAATCCATGATCAGCTGTTACACAAGGCAAATCGTTGAAGGACTAGAATATTTGCATTCAAGTGGCATAGTGCATTGCGACGTTAAGGGGAGGAACATTTTGTTAGATGAAGATGGTGCTAAAATTGCTGATTTTGGATGTGCCAAGTGGGCTGCACCGGTGCCCAGAATCACTAGCCAGGAAATCAAGAAAGTGGCAGTGGGTGGCACTCCTCTGTTCATGGCCCCCGAAGTTGCCAGAGGGGAAGATCAAGGACTTCCAGCTGATATATGGGCTTTGGGATGCACAATTATTGAGATGGCCACAGGTGGTTCGCCTTGGCCTAATGCAACCAATGCAGCATCTCTGATGTATGAGATTGGATTTTCAGGGGAACTGCCTGAAGTTCCTGATTTTCTATCTGAACAAGCAACAGATTTTCTGAGCAAGTGCTTGAGAAGAGATCCGAAAGAGCGATGGACCGCTAAACAGCTTCTGAATCATCAGTTTCTTGAGGGGGCTAATACCAATTCAAAGCAGAATCAAGAACTGATTACCAGTTCTCCAACAAGTATTCTTGATCAAGATATCTGGAATTCAATGGAGGAACCAGACAATCTGAGCGATGGTGAAATTAAAGAAAGTTCATTGAATTCTACTCCAGCTCAAAGACTACAATTCTTGGCTTCAAATTCAGGGTATCCAAGCTGGAATTCTGGTGAAACTTGGATCACAATCAGAAGCAGTAAAGATGTGAAAAGGGAAGATGAGGCCATGGAAATTTGTGGGTCATTGACAGATGTTGATTCCAATGGAGTGAAGCTGGAAAGCAGAAATTCCGGTGATCAGAATTCAATGAATTTCTTACACCAAAATGTCTCTAGTAAAAGTAGCTGTGGTAAAATGATTCTCAACAGATGTACAGATGATCAAACAGTTGTAATTAGCAATCTCAATATCGAGAGAGTGAAAAAGAGGCCAAAGCTTAATCAAATTGGTTTTTTATGATTCACTTTTTTCCATGACTTTCTTTCTTTCCTTCCTTCTGCTCTTGATTCCATTTTCTTTCTCTCTTTCATTTTATTCCTTTATCTGGATTCCTTTTACCAAAGCACAATCTTTCCTTTATATCTTTCGTACATCCTTGTGATTACTTGCATTGTTTGGCACTGGAATATACCTATCTCCTCGTGGTATCTGACAATTGAATTGCTCTCATCAATTTGCCAACTCATATGGGCTTTCAAGAAGTTTCAATTAAAAAAAAAATCTAACGCTTATCCTTCAAACAAACTACATAGCGACTTGTTTGGTTGAATTTGGCAGTTAGATTAGATTAGATTCCATCAGTTCCAATCCAGTATAATCAAATCATTATGTGCATACCAAACCTCAAAAACTCCAGACATGTTGATAAGAGCTGGGGCATGAATATTATATGGGGCCTCAAAAGATTGAGGTATCAACTTTTGCAATAGTTCAAATTTCATTACATCTTAAACTTTTCATATATTAACTGCATGCCAAACCTCAAAAACTCTAGACATGTAGTTAGGATTTGATGTTTAGGTATGGCGCTCAAAAATTAATGTATCAACTTTTGCAATGATTCAAATTTTCAAATGTAGTCACATCTAACATGTTTCAGGTGATCAGATGGTATAAATTACATAGATATATATATATATGGGATAATTGCAGAAACCTCCCCTGAGGTTTCTGACATTTGCACTAACCTCCCCTGTGGTTTGAAAAATTACACTGACCTCCCCTGAGGTTACTAATCCTTTGCAAATTTAGTCCAAACGATTAAAATATTATTTTAGGGAGTGAAATTAGAATTTTGTACCAGATTTGCCATTTGTGCTACATATCCAATGAATGACAAAGTACTATAAATCAATTAACAATTAATAAATTTTAAGGAGTATAATTTATGGGCAAACACGCATTACTCATTTAAAGTACCAGCTCTTTACGAGTATTTTACTTTCAAATATTTAATTTATGATAAATATATCAATATTTGTAAGTAAAATTCAAAAATTGTTATAGTAATATTCTTGCAAAAAGAAAATCGATAGGTTATTTATTTAATATAAATTAAATTAAAAAAATAAATGGCCCATAAAGTATTAATTTTTTATGACTTTCATCCATTACACGAGTAAAGTATTCGCTCTTTATGTGCATTTTATTCTGAATCATTTAATTTATGTTAAATACATAAATGTTTGTAACTAAAATTGAAAAAGTGTTATATTAATATTTTTACGGAAGAGAGATTGGTAAGTTTTGTATTTAACAAAAATTGAATATTTGAAAATAAATACAAATCTGTATTTGAGCGTAAATATTTGTATTAAATTAAATGTTTGAAAGCAAAATACCCTTAAAGAACCGGTACTTTAAATAGTTATCGGCTCTTTATAGGCAAACACGCATTACTCATTTAAAGTACCGGCTTTTTACGGATATTTTACTTTCAAACATTTAATTTATGATAAATATATCAATGTTGTTTAGTAAAATTCAAAAAGTGTTACAATAATATTCTTGCAAAAAGGAAATCGATAGGTTATTTATTTAATATAAATTAAATATTTTTAAAAAAAATGACCCATAAAGTATTAATTCTTTATGGTTTTCATCCATTACATGAGTAAAGTATTGGCTCTTTATGGGTATTTTATTTTGAATCATTTAATTTATGTTAAATACATAAATGTTTGTAACTAAAATTGAAAAAGTGTTATATTAATATTTTTTATGGAAGAGAGATTGTTAGTTTTTGTATTTAACAAAAAATAAATATTTGAAAGTAAATATAAATATGTATTTGAGCGTAAATATTTGTATTAAATTAAATGTTTGAAAGTAAAATACCCATAAAAAATCGGTACTTTAAATAGGTAATGCATATTTGCTTATAAACTATACTCCTTAAAGTTTATTAATTGTTAATTGATTTGTAGTATTTTGTCATTCATTGGACATGTAGTACAAATGACAAATTTGGTAAAAAATTCTAATTTCACTCTCTAAAACACTATTTTAATCGTTTGGACTGAATTTGCAAAGGATTAGTAACCTCAAGGGAGGTCAGTGTAATTTTTCAAATCACAGGGGAGGTCAGTGCAAATGTCAGAAACCTCAGGGGAGGTTTCTGCAATTATCCCTATATATATCTATCTCTGCAAATTTTAAATAAGAATGCCATCATAACAAAAATAACATAACTGCGTATATGTTGATGATCAGTAGTTTGTTATCAAATTCATGATTGCTCAAGTAAATTGTAGTTTACTTGGTATAAATGGACTTGAGGAGAAGACTTATTTGGGGAACTTCAGCAGTTAGATTAGATGAGATGGGACCAAGTATGATCACGAAAAACATCATGTTCAAACCAGAAATCAAGAAGGTACAGGGAAGAATTGATTGGAGCATCTGATGAAATTTGGGGCCTCAAAATTTAAAGCTATCAACCTTTTAGAGCTTTTAATTACTCAAGACTTCAATTACTATAAAAAGAGTAAACAAAATTGTAACAATTTACATTAATGGGATATATGTGTGCATCAAATTATATATGGATTAAATAAGTAATAATGTACACTGCTTTACCCATTGTAGTTACCAAGCTGATCAATCATTATCCCAAGAAAAATGAAAAAAAAAAAAAGAAAGTATCCAATGAAATGGTCAAGCACATGTTTTTGTAAGTGATGATGTGATTCACTAGTTTGTTGGTGTAAATAGACTTGTGGTGGAGGAGGAGGAGGAAACTTGCAGCAATAGCTAAAAACTTTGGGAAAAGGAATATAATATGCTTCTGGTGGGCTATTGCAACCCCCTCTCAACTTTTCCCCCATAAATAATGGCAATTTGTTGCTTGGAGTGTGTTGTGAACCTTGTCAATTTGTTTGGGATTCCAAATTCTAAATGGGGTCACTGTTATTCTTTGATTTTACCCAAAAGTGGTCATGATAGTCTTTGATTTTAGTTAAATGGAACTGTTGCCAGTTTGGTAGACCACCCTGCAAGGATGTATGCCGGCAGCAGTTACTTGAAGGTGAAACTAGGTAGGAAATCAGATACATTTGAGTTTTCGAGACTACATAGAATGCTTTGAAAATTTTTGGCATCGCACATATAGCCTAAAATACATAGAAATTTTTCAAAATTCTCAAAATCTTAAAAAGAAAAAAATATATGAATTTCTAGAACGTGGGGAAAGGTGGTGGTGGCTCTTCCCTCCCCCGAGTTGACATTTCCATATCTTCTTCTTTGAGGACAGCCATCTTCGGATTCGTGTTTTCCACGTTGATTTGATACTGATAGCAGTTTGTTATCTAAACATCATGGGCTTTGGCGGCCCTACAAGCTCACAAAATTGAGACGCCCAAGAAGGAACCTTATGGCTCTAAGTAAAGCCCAAACACAGACTTAACAGTTCAACTGAAGAATTTTTTTTTTTTTAATTTCACCGGACTTTATTATAGGTTTAAAAACATTTCTTTCAACTTTATATTGGAAAAATATGCCTAGTCGAAACATAAATAATTTTGAAATTAGTCTCTTTGGGACTTTCAAAATTTTTGTATATTTCAATAAACGTCATTAGGAAAGTGTAAGGAAATTTGCTTAAGTGACAACGATATGCTCCAGTGTGTGTTTTTCTCTTGGAAACACTTTAGTATGTTTAATACAAAATAGTTTTTGTTTCTCATATTGTTTTTGTTTACTTTGCTTCAAGGTGAGACTTCGAACATTGCAATGAAGAAGGGCGAAAATAGAGGGTTTCAGAGTCAAATCAGACATATCATGTTTATTTGGCTAATGAAACTACCAATTAAGATGGATTTTGGGGATCAACTGCCTTTATTTCTCCAAATATTCAAAAGCGTGTTTGAAAATAAGTACATAATAAAACTACAATCATTAAAAAAGTTTACCCAAGCAAGAACATAGCAAAATATAACAGAGAAATTAAATAGGATGGAAGGAGTAGCAAGAAAGTGATACATCTGAATCTAGATATTTATTTTCAACTGGCAACATTTATAATTTGTAATCAAATGCCATTTCATTGTCAAAGAAAAACTACCTAATATCACGTATTCTCTACCTCTTGATAAACCAACTAAGATATCCACTTTTCATCTCATACACTTTCAGCTAAAGCATACCACTAATTATTTTGCTTTAGCATCTGAGTGAAAACCAGTTGACTAGCTCAAGATTTTCATCATATGATTATGTATTCAATTTCAAGAAAAAATGTGGGACAGCATTTAACAAATTAGGGAATTGGCATGTCTTTAAGCCCAAAATATTACCTGTAGAAAGGCAAATCTTGATCAGAAAATAATAAAATCTAACAACTTTTTCAAATAAACACAATAATGAGTAAGTTAGCCATGTAGAGGAAAGCAGCATTTGGGTAGTTCTCATTTCTTCTTCTTCTTTTTATTCTTTTCGGTTCATGGGTAGCTTATACTTTGCTTTAATACAAATAGGGTGAAGCTAAACGTGATCATAACATAGGAACAAATGAGCAAATGGTGTTTTGATAATATACGCAACTCCACAATAGATATAGTCATTACAACAACAATGAACAAAAACAAAACTTTTGATACAAACTCTAAATATAACTTTTATCTGCATTTGTTGTTTAGTGTTTATATGTATTAATTCAAACAGCCTGTTGTACAGTTGACACTGACAATTACAAAGGCACATATCCAGCCCAGGTGACCCTGAAATTGAACTGAAGGAGCCCAAATGACATTATTGTTCTTTTCTTTTAAGGGCAGGAAAATAAAAAGGGTGCATTTCATGTCTTTCACTTTGTTGTCCTTCGTGTTCATGTGGTTGCCTAATATCTTGACACCCCTATGGATCTTTTTAATGTACGGCTGAAAAATGAACTAAACTACTTGATCATCAAATCAAGTTTAGCTTGGTTAGAATTTATTCGAATTTAGTTTACCAGCTGGTCA